TTATGTCCTCTGTTTCCATGGCTGTTGCCGGGGGGAACCCAATTTCCAGCGCTCGTTTGTAGGAGAAGGTGGTAGTGGCAGTTTGGGTGTTAAGTTTCATTTGATGAGCATTTCCGGGTAACGGCAGTGGTGGGAAGCTGAAGAGAGATGTGGTGGTTGGATCTGGTGGTTGAAGAAGAAAAAAAAGCCGTCATTGACGGCATCTCAGTCATCGGAGACGAGATTTGGGAGCTGAGGGTAGGCAGACTTTTAAATATTATATGTATTGCCATGTGGGTGTTGTTATTACTACATGTCATGTTCCATAAATGAAAGAATGCATAATTCTAATGCATCCACTTATATTTCCTTTTTATGGATTTAAGAAAAATAACAAACTCGTGGCTTGTTGGTTGTGGCAGAGAGTAGCACTAGTTATTAAGGAAAATGAGAGGTATGGTCTATCATTATGAGAGGTAATAAATATGGGGACTCAATCCAATTATCTTGTTTAGATTTTTTTTTTTGTGTGAAAAACATAGCGTAAAGGGGCGCTCTAACCATTAACCATTAATAGACCGTGGGGTTTGAACCCCAACCGAGTCAAACATAAGCCAGTATCTCAGGTCTAGACTAGGAACATCAAATACATGCATCCCAACGGGTAAAGAGTGGCCAACAGAGGCCAAAAAAAAGTCTGCTGCAAAATTGCTCTCACGGAAGACAAGAATAATGGTGGCCTCCCAATCCTGTGTCAGCAGATTACGGATGTTTGCAGTAAGAGTACCATGGGGATGATCATTCTGTCCCGACTCCAACAAAGCTATCACGGTGGAAGAGTCAGTCTGCACTTGAACTTTGCGGAGTCCAGCTTCCTAAGCTATGCGCAGGCCTTGAGCAATTCCTGCTAGCTCAGCATTTGTGATGGATCCGCCTCCTAGGTTAGTCGAAAACGCCCTGAGAAACTGGCCCTCACTTCCACGTATTACACCTCCAACTGTGCTGCTTCCTTCTGCAAGTCGCACTGACCTGTCCGTGTTCACACAGCAGCAGCCACTCGGGGGGTCGTTGTGTTGTTCGTTCGGTATCCGCACCTGCCACCTTGCACGCTTTGCTGAACACCAACTTAGTTTGGTCCCGAAGCTTTTGGGCTTGGCGAACTACTTGGGGAGTTGCCGCCAGGGTCTTCCCGAAAACCCACAAGTTCCTGTTCTTCCACAACTGCCAGCAAACAATCGCCAAGGTAGTGGAGTTAATGACCTTGCCCCGATAAGACAGGTAGTGCAAAGTCCATTTGAATTATGCACGTTGGTAAAAAAATCATTGACCAAAAAATCTATACGTACATCAAGATATTATAATCAATCTATATATAATGGCTCTCATGCATAATAGTAGAGAAATAATATTAACCACCCAATAAATCTTTATATTGGGAATGGATAATATATATACCTGAAATTAGCCAATCGAAATTTATGATCTTCTGATGACACAGACTGCTTCACGACATACGGTAAACATGACAATAGCAAGAAAATGAAAACACTACTTCTAGAGTTGTTTTCGATCGACTGGATCTAAAGTACGTATACCAATTGGGTTAATGGTAATAACTTTTCCTTTCATATTTTCTAAAGATCAACAATATCTTAAGAATAAAAGAATGTAAAACTTCCACTTTGGAGTTGGCTCAGATCGACAGGATCTTGAGTACATAGAACAATCGTGCTAATGGTAAAAGATTCATACTCCGGAATTTGCTCAGATCACAGGATCTGGAGCACGTAGAACAATCATGCTGATAACATATTATGAATAATTATCCAGAAATGAAAATAATTAACCCCATTGAAACACGAAGTAGAAGATAAAAGCAGCATCACTTTTATTTCATACTCTCATATCACTTTTACATTGGGAGAGCATATACACAGAGAGGAAAGGGAGAAGAGAAGCTTTGTTGGTGTGTCTTTCCTTCTCAAGTAGCTTCCCTTTTATAACCACTGAATGCACAGAGATCCAACTAGTAAGGATGGGAGGAGATGGAAGTTGGGAAAGTGGACAATAGACATCTACATATTAATACATTTATAATAAAACTAGTTTTCTATTGGGTGATGATTCTGTTATCACTATAACAACAAATCAAGTGTTTTTACCCTATCTAATCCCCATTCCACAGATCTTTTATATTCATTTTTTTTTTTTTTTTTTTTTTTTTTGATACCCAGGAACCTCAGCCCCACGTGCCACTTTGTGACAGCGGGTCCTACTAAACCTGGGGGCCACTGCATTTTAATTTGACGCCAACGGGGCTTCGCCCCCAGCAGCCTTGTACCTCCGGGAACACCAACGGGCCTCGCTTGGATTCGAACCTGGGATCTGCAACTCCCAAGCCTTCACTGTTGCGGCAGCTTTACCGTTAGGCTATCTTACCTTTGGTATCTTTTATATTCATTTTAGTTGCTGTTATTTGATTAAACATACTATTATTTGAGTAAACAATACTATTTTAACACGTAGTTCCCCGACAACCTCTAATTGCTTATGGTTTCGTTATATGTGTTACAATTTTTTGTTATGATATTATGGGTTTGGTTTTATTAATTTTTGTTGCTAGCAGGAAATTTTGGATTTATTCAGTTATTACTCCGGAAAAATACTCTGATTTTGTCGGAATAATTTTTCAAAGAAAAAAAATTATTTTAAAAATTAAATTTACAATTACATAACGATTGAACTACGATCGCATCACAAAATATCCTACCATAAACGAGTCTAATATAATTCCCGATATTGTTTCACAAACCATGATTCTTTTCCGTTTAATATCTCACGACAACCATAACATGAGATTTTTCCAAAAATATCACTATTTTAAAAAATTACAAAAATACCGCCCAACCCAAAAAAATTCTGAAACTACCACCATTCATTGAAAATCGCCACATGGGGAGGCGGTTAGTTTCAGAACCGCTTGGTCATGTAGCGGTTTGAATTATTTAAACTAACCGCCACCTGTGGAGGCAGTTTAGTTGCTGACCTAGACAAACCGCATGTAGAAGGAACGTTCTACGTCGACAATAGAAATCGCTCCTTCAATAAGTGGTTTGTCTTGTCGACACACAAACCCCCCCAGCCCCCCACCCCCCCAAGCGGTTTGTGTATCGTCCCTATCCCTCGGACATCCAACATGTCGGCATGCAGTGGGTTGCATATATGGGCCTGCATGCCAGATGAAAACCGCACCCTCCTCCAGCGGTTTTCAGTGGTCATTTTGCTTATAAAAGGCAGTCTCGAAAGTCTCAACTCTTCACCCATCTCCTTAGTCTTCTTCATATTTCTGTTGTCAACCCTACTTTGTTTTTTGAATTTTTGCGATTAACATTACTTCGTCAGTTTGTTTTGCGATTAACGTTATTGCAGATGACATTCCAAAAGTTCATGCGTTACGGTGGAATGGTTATACGGAAGAGGCCAAAAAAGGGGTACGTTATGTCAGTGGTAATTTTCATAAAGTGAAGGTCTCTACGAGACCGAACCTTGAAGAGCTTCGTGAAATGTGCAATGAGGTGACTTGCATGGATGACATAAGAAGACTTGATCGTATGGTGTATCGATATCCAAATAGACATGGCGAGTCGTTGTAGCATGAGGAATTCCTCATAACCACTCAGGAGGAAGTAGATGCAATGGTTGATTGCCAATAACATTAAACAAGTAGAGATGTTCGTTTACACACCAAGGCGGTCGAAGGCGGTGGAGGTCATTACGGAGATGACCAAAAATCTGGTTTCCATAGTGGAGGTGGATTATACAAAGATCATCCCTACTCAAGTTAACACGATTCTCATTCCTACAAAGATCATTCCTACTATGAGGTGGAATATGAGGTGCTTTTCCTGAGCATTCTCAATGTTTCTGTTTGGTAGAGGTTGAAGATCATCTGAGAGCCCCTTCAACAGGTTGTTGAAGTCTTTAATGAAAACCTCCTCTCTCTTTTGTCCCGCAGCTGCAGGTGAGCACCACGAAGGTGAGAAAACCTCCTCTCTCTGTTGAAGTCTTTACATCCACAGGTGAAAAACTTCACTTTATTCCTCCAGTGCTTTTATGGATTCCTCTTCCTGTCTGTCCACATGGCTCCCCCCAGCAAGTTTTCATACCGGTGACACAGCTCCCATTCACAAGAAAGGGTGGAGTCCCATTCCCATTCCCATTCCCATTCCCAAGGGCGGGCACAGGAGGGTTTAGAGGTGTCCCGGGACACCTCTAAATTTTGGAAAAACAATTAACCAATCTCCAGTGGTAATTTACGTATGAACAAAAAAATTATAATTAATAGTCCGGGACACCCTGAATTAGAAAAAACGATTATTCTACTCTCGTTTGTAGTTTGCGTATGAGAATATAAGTGGTAGTTTGGATAATTCAAACCCGGGACATTACTATTATTAATAAATATAATTTCCATTAGGCTACAACTTTTTTGTTGTTCTATTCTAAACACTTTGTAATAGCAAAATCCTATTCTCTATCTTTAATTATTTTCAAAACCTAACAAATAATCTAATTACAAGCTACTCTTAATTTGTATTGATTTTATGGTTGTACGACGAGTGCTGAAAGTGTCTTTTCAGTTTTGAGTTACTTCAAAAACAAATTTAGAGGTCGAATATGCGTCAGTTCGTGAATGAGCAGTGTAGACACCAAGTGTATTTTACAATTTTTTTTTTCAGAATATGAAAATACATAATAGACTTTTTTAACTTGTACGAGTTGGGTATTTTCTTATTTAATTATTATTATTATTATTTTACTTTATTTTTTGAAAGAGGACACCTCTAAATGCAATAACATGCATTTTAAGTTGCCGAACTCGAGATGCGAAGATCAGCCAACGACACTTCCAATATTGTGAAATCTAGAGGACTAACCAAAATACAACGAACTCAGTTTCCGATCACTATATAATATGACTTTTCAATTTTGATGGACAAAAATAGAATATCTTCATGATCGAATCCGACTCTAATTTGTACTTTATTTTTTATCTAGTCTTGAACTGGTAATCTACGCCCTATGAATCAAACTGGACTATGCGTCTATGCCCCATCTCTTTTTTCCCCCCGTTACTCAAAATCTTAAATGAAGTTCTTCAACTATGCCCCATCCCTAATTGCCGTACATTCACGTCGACCCGAAAGGAACACTAGACCCATCGACACCCAACCTGGTACTCAGCGGGACGGACAAAACAAAGGATCATTAATTGGCTTGGCACACCTAAATGACAAACCCAATTTCTCGTGAATGGAAAAATTCGATTCCATCCAATCCAATCCGACCAACTGTACTGAATGCTAGTGCCTGAAAGTTACCTTGCGGCCATCAATTGCCACCTTCTAGTTCTACGACAAGCCTGTCTCCTCTCGAGACAAACCACCCCCACTTAATGCCCACATGGCTCTCCACTGCAACCGCCCACTTTCGCGAAGCAAACATTCCCATGGCTTGGCTGCTGCCACCAGCTTACCCATTTACACAACACACACACACGGCCAAGAACTTGAATTTTTCACTGCCCGAGAGTACACGGCTTTAACTACAATCAAATTCACTGCACGTTAAACACTGAAGCCCGCTAGTACCAAATTCAACAAGGAAAGAAGCGCGACAATGGAGATAATTCCAGAGCAGCTTGTTTTTTCATGGGTGATTGACGGGGAGCTGCTCTGGATTTCATACGAATCGACAGCAAGGGGCATTCCGTCGCGATTAAGAGCGCACGAATGCTGCTGGGAATCCACACCATCGTCGTTGTTCATCATTATCGCCCGGAGCACGGCCGAGACGGTGTGGATGTAGGCCGTCCGGTTCTTGGCGAGCAGCCATGTGAGACCCATGAGCTGGCAGTCCTTGCTGCGCATTTTGGTGCTTCGTTCCTCCGGTTTGTTGCTTGCGTTCCAAGACTCATTATTGTGATTGCTGTTGAGCTGCAACAGAAAGGGTTTCAGTGGTTAGGTTTCTAACAGTAACTCCCTAGACTGGTTGGTTGGTGAAAGCTTTAGACTTGAGTTACAAGCAGCATCCACCCCGGTACCTTCCCAATCTCACTGCAACATACTTTTTGTGACACATTTACCCTACTGAAAGGGACAGGACCATTTACAACAGACTAGCAAACGAACAAGTAGCTAAGCATTGGGCCCCCAACCTAATGGCACATGAAGAGCAACTAATCATTGAGTTGCACTGCTCATTCTTTTGGGTTCTCTTCTTTTGCTACTCTTATCCTTTTCTCACATAAAGGACGAAGAAAAAGGGTTGAATTATCTTTGGGTTGATCTGTTTTTGTTGGCACAAAAACAGGGGTTCACAAATCAGTTAGGTCCACCCAACAGTCCAACTTACTTGTCATAGATAGCCGACTCAACTGACCCTACAAATTTGCTTCTACTACTAACAACTTTGCCCCCCACTTGACAAATAGGATCAAGGACAGGCAACGCCATTAATGGGGTTTTGTACCATCAATTCAAACCCTCGTTAGCACATGCTCTTTCAACATAGCAGCAATTCTTCTCAAGACAGAATGCTTATGAAGACCATGCTTATAATTCCTTCACCCTTCGACTTGCGATGAAACTACTACAATGTATACGCATTCAGCTCAGCAGGATGGACAAATTCTGGTATACTAATGCCACAAGTACCGAGAATTACACTAAAAACAAAAAAAAACAGAGAATTGAGTCTTCCTAGGCAATAATTTAAAGCTTAACCCCCAACGAGCCTCGAAAGAGAAGGAATTGGATACTGGTTATGGGTTCAATCGCTTCCATGGAGCGTCGTGTCTACTGTCTACATTCTAGCCTTCACATAAGCAAAAGCAAAAAACTTTCCCAATTAGCCATAGACATTAAAGGTTAAGAAGCCTAATTTAACTGCCTGCCTCGCTTGAATTCTCACGCAATCTCCCTATAATTTCATCATCGCCAAGCAAAAGAGCAATACCCAGACGCGAGATCGAATGGCATCGCCAAGGACAGGGGGAAATGGGGGGAAAAGGAAAACAGAGACAGAGGACTTACGGTGTTGAGAGTGGTCAAGCACTTGGAACAGCACTCAACCCCTGGAACCCATTCACATTGTGGCTGCTGCTGCAGCAATCTCTCTCCAACCGCCTCACGCGGCGGTCCCCGACGAGCTTCCCTCCGGCGTCGAGCGAAAAAGCGTCGGGGCAGCTCAGGGGTGGAGCCGAATCCCGCAGTAGCAGTAGACGGCGTCGCAGGAGTCGTTGAGGCGGGGCAGCTGGATCCCTTTCTCCCTGAGCCCTTTCTCCAGGGCATCCACGCAGGTCTCCGAGTCGTCGGGGAGCAAGGGCATGTCGATGTCGTAGTGGCGGCCGGCGGTGCCCAGGGGCGGTGGCGGAGTAGGCGGAGTAGAGCCATGCGGCGAGGACGGGACAGCAGCGGGCCTTGTGGAGGTGCTGTTGCTGGGCGGTGGAGGTGGAGCAAGCGGATTTGACGCCTTGGAAGAGTGGGGCGGGGAGGTCGAGAGGGCAGGCTTGGTATGTGGATTGCTCAGGGAAGCCGGGATGGTGGAGGGCGGGGACTGGGTTGGGAGGAGGAAGGGCTGGATGGTTTCTGCCTCTGGGTCCGGTAATGGTAGAGCTCGGAGGAGATTGGGGAACAATGTTAGGAAAAGGAGGAGGGCTAGGGAGAGGATCGGTGGAGGATTGGGAAGGATGGTCATTTGCAAAGATGATGAAGGTTTTCCTTTTGGGTTGGAGGTACTGAGATTATGGTATAGGAATGGGAACGGATGAGGGGAAAGAGAGAAAGAAAGAGTGGGAGGGAGATCAGTGAGCAGCAGTGAGCATTTTTTTTGTTTTGTTTTGTTTTGTGGGGGCGGTGGTTTTGGCTAGTGCTATGTCTGCAACTGTAAGCAAGAAAGGCCTAACAATTTAGGACCTTAACGGTAGTATTGAATGGGAACACGGGACTTGCGCTAGCTATATGGTGTCTACTTTTATGATGGGAGAGTGGCAATGCCATGATGAAATGGGAATCTCTGGTGAGGGAACGGTGGGTCGTCCCTGAAATTATTGCTTCATAGGCAAGTTGGAAACAACTTACTTGTGATACCATGAACATTTGGGACAATATGTGCACATTAACTAAGTCATTGGCGTCTATACCAAACTTTGTGTGGTGGCTGTCCCTCTTGATGGTGGATTTATCTTTCTTTTGGTGAATCCATTTACCGTTTTCCCCCTTTGGCTTCTGCGGGTGGTTTCGATCTGCCTCTTTGTCGTCGTCGTTGGGTAGATGACGGAGTCTGATCCGGTTGGCTGTGGTGACGGTTCTTGGATTTTGGGGTGTGGGTTCTCCTGCTCGCCTTCACCAAGATTTGGTTCCTTGGCTCCCTCTGCTTCTTCAGCTCGGAGCAATCTGATTCTCATTCCTGACCACCGCCATGTAATCCCACATCTGAGATTCACTGTGTTGAGAATCTTCGAGCGACTCCCAGGAGGCGGCTTATGGCATTGCTGTGTTCAATAGCCATGGTTTCGATCGGATCGGACGAGCTGATTGTGCTTGGTGCTACTTTGTTTGGTTTGGTTGCAAGAGAGATTTATGTGTTTGCTGGTTGTGGATCAAGTGTTTCATACCCAATGTAGGGGTTGGTTCATTTGGTGTTCGGTGCTGTCCTTTTTCTATCTTTGAAATACTGTTTGTTTCAGCTCTTGCTTGGAGATGTTTACTCCTGCTCTAGTTCTGGTTACCTCTTTGATTTCTCTTGTAATCGATCTTACAAAGTGCAATGCAAGTGATCCCTTTGTCAAAAAAAAAAACTAAGTCATGAATTCCGCTCCAATTGATAGGCTTGGAAAGTGAGGTAAATAGGTGGTGACTGGTAAGTTAGTTGCGGGCTCTATTCCTTTATTTCTCACTTACTGTGAGTTTTGATTTGGTGGGTTTATCTGATGGTGTACTCTTGGTCGGTTTATCTGATGGTGTACCAACTTGAGGACAGGTAGAATACGAGCGACCGTGAATGAAAATGGGAACAAGCAAGCTAGACATAATCCAATCAAGTTGAACAAAAATGACGAATGGCGGTGATGGGTGACGGGGACGACGTAGAAGAGGGCGATTCAAACTTCCGTTGGCTTGGAACCGTCGGTGTCGGCAGAGCACTTCAACGGAGACAGAGGATCGCTCGGAACCAAGAATTCGCCATTTCTTACACAATGAGTGGAGGGTATGGAGTTTGGATCGGCGACGGTGGAGTTCACCGGAGCAATTCTCTTTTTAAAGTCGGAAGGCGAGAGGTCGAGGAAGCCCCAAAGGAATTGCCTTTTCGTTCACTTTTTTATTTTAGGAGAAAAATAAATGTAGCTAAAAAGTTAAGTCAGTTTCTATTTAATTAATGGACGGATAGGCAGAGACTTTCCCTCTGTTAGCCGAGTTTGGATAGGTGGACTAATGAAAAATAAGCATACATGTGGACCAATAAAAACCGGTGTTACCAGTGCCGCACTTTTTACAGCGACACAACAGTATTGGCCAAACAAAAAATAAAGTCATGTAAAAGAAGAGGCAGAATAATAACAATTGTCATAAAGTTGGTACCTAATTTACAAGGATAATTAGAGTATTAATATTGGTATTGCATTCTCAATAGCAAGATAACAATAGGGCTGCAAATTGGCCCCACCCATTCCTGATCCGTCCTTGAAGGGTTAAGATATATAACTCACTCGTCCCGTCCCTGACTCCTTCTTGACCCTGTCTAACCCTGAAGGGTTGGGACGGGTCGGGTCAGTGGGTCGACCCTAATCAAAACACTACTTTTTTACAAATTACATTTTGGTATCCAAAATTAATTTTTCTTACAATTTATTACATAAAATTTATTTCTTTTACAAATAAGTCATAAATTTTGATGGTAAAATTACGTTTTGACACCCAAATTTTTTAATTTTACAATTTAGTACCTAAACGTTTAAAACTTTACAAAGAGATCCAATGTGGTATGAGATAGTTGTTGTTGTTAAGGGTCACAGGGTCTAAAAGCGACCCATCCCTAAGTTGTCCCTACCCGTCCCGACCCTTATATGGTCAACCAATGACTCGTCCCTAATCCGACCCTTTAGATAAACTGACCCGTCTCGACCCTCAGGGACGGGATGGGTCAGGACGGATCAGTGGGTCTTCCGGGTCAAACTTACACCCCCTAGATGACATGATATGGGTGTTTGAATATGCAAAAATAATTGCATTGATGTGACTAGCAATTGCATATTTGCAAGCTTGCAACAAAGGCAATATTGCAAATGCAAATCAAAAAGGCCTACAAAGTGAAGATTTTTTTACTTTATATAATTTTCTTTTCTCTTCTACTTTAGATTCTATAATTTAAACCTAATATTAAATTACATATGCAACTGCAAGTTCATTGCATTGATGTAGGTGAATGAAAGTGATATGAGGTGAATTGTAAAAAAATTGAGTTGTCAATAAATAGTACAAATACAATTAATTTTGCAATTGCATTGATGTGGATGCTTTTATAGAAAATATATAACTATATTTGGGTTAATATCCTATTTTGGTCTTGACACGCTAAAACACAACACCAAACTGCGACCAAGTGTAATCGCAGTCCTGAAATGCAGTAAAGTGGCAAGCTCTATTTGTCAACCCGGGGTCTAGATCTACTGCCTACTCCGTGACTATCTATTATCTAGCAAACTAAGTCGAGTGATTGTGATTTTAAGTACAAGCAGTAAGAAAGCATGAAATGGTTCAAAGTTCTTTAGCAAGGGAAGAGTCACTCGAGAATGAGCCCCCCTACCTCCTTAGTTAGGTCAAAGTTGTAATTACCTTTGGTTGATTTACTGTTGATTAAAGTGCGGAATATCTGACAGTAGCTTGGAATCTCTTAAGCTGACCAAACCCTCTCAGACAGACTACCCGGCAGACAACTAGTCTTCACCTGTGAGTTTTGATTTGGTGGGTTTATCTGATGGTGTACTCTTGGTGGATTTATCTGATGGTGTACCAACTTGAGTACAGGTAGAATACGAGCGACCGTGAATGAAATGGGAACAAGCAAGCTAGACACAATCCAATCGAGTTGAACAACAACGACGAATGGCGGTGATGGGTGACGGGGACGACGCAGAAGAAGGCGATTCAAACTTCCGTTGGCTTGGAACCGTGTCGACAGATTACTTCAACGGAGACAGAGGGTCGCTCGGAACCAAGGATTCGTCATTTCTTACACAATGAATGGAGGAGGAATATGGTGGAGGAGTTTAATGGAGGGTATGGAGTTTGGATCGGCGACGGTGGAGTTCGCCGGAGCAATTCTCTTTTTACAGTCGGAAGGCTAGAGGTCGAGGAAGACCCAAAGGAATTGCCTTTTCGTTCACTTTTTTAATGTGTTAATTGCAAGGTTGATCACCCGAACTATCGCGAAAATGTCACTTGTGTCCTATTGTTTCCAATATTCCGTCTGTGTCCTGAGCTATGATTCCGTTAGTGTTGACTTTTGTTGACCGTTAGTTTTTAACAGAAAATCTAGTCAGCGCTGATGTGGCATCAGACGTGTAATTTTTTAATATGAATTTATATTTTTTCACAAAAAAATAACTAAAGAAAATAAAAATAAAATAACCCCTCACCCACCAACCCATCTCCGTGTCGTGACATCTCCTCCCCCAAAGTGAATTCCGACCACGATCACCTCTCCTTCTCATTGTCGCCGACTTCACTAGAGCTCGTCGTCGGTCACTCCTTCCCCCATCCGTTCTTTTCCTCTTCCACCAGTACCAAAAAATCAAGAATGGAGATTAATCTCATCTGTCACTCCGTCCCCCCTGTTCTTTTCCTCTTCCACCAGTATCAATAAATCGACTTCACCCTCCTCCCACATTTTCCTTCTCCAAACTGTCCCCAGAAATCCGGCGGTGGTTAGCTTCTTACAACACCAGCCGAGCCTCCGCTCAACAACGACATCACCACCATCACCGGAAATTTCTTGGCCACCTAATCTGAGATTGGGGTTGCCGGGTCGGATTCAGATCTAAAGGAGGCAGAGGAAAGAAAGAGGCGGTGGAGGCATTGAAGCTATAGAGCTTGCATATGAGAGTGGGAAGGGGAGGAAAAAGGATTGGTGAGACACTTGAAGAGTTGGAGCGGAAGAAGGATTTGAGAAAGGAGCAGGGGGCGGCGATAGTGATTGGCGGCAGCAAGGAGTCGAGGGATTATCGAGTCCTTCCAACGAGGATCCCATATCCTCCATTTCATTGTCTGGAAGAAGAGAGCGCTTTCGGATACCCACCGTAAACCTAATTCCGCCGCAGATGAAGAATCCGATGGTGGCAACAATGGCGGCGATGAGGGGGAGGTAGAGGGTCGCTTATACTCA